GTCTGATCGGAGGGCTCTATGAGGTGGAGGGAGAGGCGTCGAGTCTTTTTTGTCAGAGCCAAAGCCAAAGTGGGACGTGGTGGCCATGGCAAAGGAGGTGAGGTGTTGGACGAAACGAAAATCCTACACTTACGGTATGAGTGCTACAGGCTGGTTTCACGGGGAGATGTGTCCTCCTCTCCACCATGAATTCATCCCTCCTTGATTTTAGCTGGCCCCACCCCTTGATTTTCACTGGGTCATGTCAGTCCGCAACTCCCTTTCTGTGAGAAATCGCCTGTAGATATACCTGGCCAAACCTCGGGCCGGGCCGGGCCTAGCCAAGCCCGAGCCAAAAAACCTGGGCCCGAGCCCGGCCCGACCCGGCCATCGGGCCTAGTTTTTGGGCCCAAGCCCGGCCCGAACATGCAAAAGCCCGCCGGGCCTTGGGCCTCGGGCCGGGCCCCTTCAGAAAACTGCAAAAATGACAGACCCGGGCCCGGCCCGGCCAGACCACCGGGCTCAAAATCTAGGCCCGAGCCCGGCCCGGGAGCAGCGTCGGGCCGGGCCGGCCGGGCCGGGCAGCCCATGGCCAGGTCTACCTGTAGATGTAGCAAAGCTCTGGACGAAATGTGTGCGGGCCAGGCGGGGCACCTCCTATTGCTGCCATGTTAGAAGAGCTAGAGCAGCGGAGATCAAGGGGAAGCCAGAGGAAGACGCTAGCGGCCATGGCAGAGGAGCGGTAATAGAGGAGGTCGTTAGAGATTTTCGGTGAATCGAGACCATCAGGAAAAGGGATTCCGGTGCTGGTGAGGGTCGCCGGAGCTGTGGGGACGGTGGACGGTTTCATTTTCTCAGTCATCGGGGCGGTGGACAGCAGGTGACGCATGTTCTGGTGACAGACGGGATGGACTAAATCTGAGGAGAAAAGTTGCGAATTGAGTAAAAGAAGATTGCCCCCCACATATGTTAGTCCATCCCGTCTTTTTCTTCTCAGATTTAGTCTTAAATGTGACTTTGAGATGTTCTAAGCTTCTAAACCATGTTTGCTTGTTTCTCAAATGTGCGTTCGTGTGCATATGTATGTGTGTGTTTCCTTGCAGCAAGAGCATCAAGAGGCTATTCATTGACTTGGCATACAAAGCTTGTCTTGCTCCAAACGGGAAATATCCTTGTTCTATAGGTCTATCTTTGAAGGGGATCGACGTGCAGGCCGTTAGCGGTTCGTATGCCCTATCATCGTCGGCCAGCGCCAAGTGCATGAACCTCCTTGTTTACTCCTGATGGCGATCGGATGCCGCGTTGTCCTGTATGTTTTCTCTTCGTTTAGATGTAAGGTGTCATGTGAGGCTTCTTGGCAGGAGCTCGTGCTGGCTGAGCACACCAGTGCAACTCCAAGGTTATTAGGCATGATCCGCCGAGTCTTCTGATGTTGTAAGAAGACTTCTTTTGTGTTTCAGTGTTTGGGTGCGTGACGGTGTCCAAATGCATGTATACATGTGTGATTGCTTCCTAGGTAGGCATAGTTGGCGCATCCAAAGTTGAAGAGAAACAGGGAGAGTAACATATGCACTGTATGTATCATGGTTAATTTGATAATTGAAGAAATGGATCATGATTTGGCGATTTACTTTCCTGTCAATTCTCTTTTGGTAATTAGTACTGCTTCCTTTGACTTGTCTCTCACTGGATCCATCTTCACGAGCTCTATCTTTTTGGTTGGGTCAGGCGACGTTGGCTATCGAGTAGCAATTCCCTCTTGAAGGTGTTGTCATCAAGTGTTGTAGATGATGGGGCTCGGAACCTATCGGATTGTGCCAACATGCATTTTCCATGGCAGTAGATTTGTGGCATTGTAGGATGTTGAATGTAGTCATTAATGCCAGAGATGAAGCTTTTCATAGTAGTCATTGGGCAATCCCGGATTGTCTCTTCTCGTTAAGTTCATTGCTACTTCAAATCAATGAATGTAAATGGAGACGGTGGGTAATTGAGTGAATGCATGAAAGGTTCTAATTGTGTAGGTGCACAACAATCTCACCGGCAGAAAATCTCAGAGGCATCACTGACACACACGATCAGCAACAGGTGAGAAAATGTCATCCCAAATGAAAAAAAAAATCCAAATAGACGAGGGGATACAAGACACTTCCACTTCAACCAAGAACCCAGTCTATAGTAGTAGTGGTATATACTCCTTCCGTCCCAAAATAAGTGACTCAAGTTTGTACTAGCTTTGGGACGGAGGGAGTAAAAGTTACGAGTTGGTGAAATCTAAACAATCTCATCGCGCCATCCAAGGACTCATGAATTTATTAAAAAGGTAAAAATGATGACACATGTGCTTAGACATGCAACCTGGTTCCCTGAAATCAGCAACCGAAAGACAACATAGCGCATGTCCATTCGGTTTCCGCTAATTGACTTTTAGCGAGTTCAAGCATGTTTTTTTTTCAGTTACGGGGAGTGAGTTCGATCTTGTTGCTTGGTAGATTCCTCCACATGCCCACGAAAAGCTTGACCAATAGATGGACATAAGCATCACCGTCTCGGTATATGATTTCACTAAGCCTGAGGTTCTTGCACTCGAAATGAACCAGGTGCTTAGAATATGACTGGTGGCGTTCCATCACCTCCTTTGTACGATGGAAGTCCGGGACCTATTGAACAACACAAAGCAATCAACATTACAGAAAATATTGAGTTATGGTAATAGTTCATGAGAAAAGTAGCAGTAGCACCTTGCAATGTCGCAAGGTGAGCTTCTCTAGGTTAGGCGAGTTGTGTAGGTATTGACGCAGCCCGAGGAAGTCGTCGCTAATAAGACACTCGTCCAGGAACAGGGTTCTCGGGTTCTCAAACTTAAATACTGGAAGATACCCATGAATCTCATAGAGCAACAGCTGAAACCCAGATAGACTGTCATTTTGTTTGTTCTGTAAAAGGCCTCTGATAAATGAGATGCAAACTGAATAAAAGGGGGT